CACTTAACCACTATACCAAACTGGCTCAGTGATTATTGATCTAATCAACCAATACTTTGGTGGCATATGCACATGTGGTGATTAAAAGATAGTCTGAACCTGCAGTAGTTTGGGCATCCCTAGAAAGGGATAATCCTCAAAACAAAAGCCTGAGGCCTTGGAACCTTCTTGGACTTGGGACAGGAGCACCAAGAAAGATCCTATTATCCTTGACCCATAGACCTCATAGCTAGGGGGATAAAACATGGCACACTTCCCTCGGACACTAAAGAAGGCTTTGCAAGGAGGAGCAGGAGCTATACCCATGTGAGGGCTTGGAGCCAGGGTGGATGCACAAAGAGAGGAGGCCTGGCTTTCTGCATCTCACCAATTGCCTGCACTGTAATTTGGTCTGAAATGAGTGTTTGGCCTTTGTGCACCGTCAAACTCTCTTGAGCAATGAAAATACAGTTGACCTTTTGATTATCACAGCTTATAATGTTGGCTGTCCTTATTCCATGTCTGCAGGCAATTTTTTTTTTAATGGATTATTCTTCAAAGCTAGGCTGTCCCCAGGTTTCTAGAAAAACCTTCCCTTTCCACAGGGAAAAATCTCCCTTTTATGTATCTGAGCCCATTGTGCGGATTTTTTCATTTGTGCTCAGGAGCTAAGTTGAGAATTAGATGTGTACGTATGGAAATTCATTCAGACATGGCAACCCCCATCTGCGCGCTGAAGTGGAATGGTCCCCAAGACAGATTTACCACTTCATCTACTATTTGTGAGATTTAGGACTACATTTTATAAATATGACTTTTATAAACACAGAATTATTTCCCCTAGCTCAGAGATATAATTTGAATGAGAAGTGGAAAGAGAGTGACACCGTGTCTGTTAATTCTGAATGCATGTGATTTATCTCAGTTCTATATTACCCATGATCCCCTGGGACAGAAATGTTTTTTACAGAGAAATGTACTTGGGGGAACAATTGCTGTTCTGTAAATGGTTTCCCTACCAAGAATAAAAGGCTGATGTAATTGAGCTGTGTGTGTCTTTGTGTGTGTATACATAAAAATAGAAGAATACAGACATTCATTCTACCAGACGAAACCCATCAACAGGTAAACCAGAGACATTTTAGTTGGCCTTCTGAAAGGAGCATGAAAAGAAACAAATACTTTAGAAATAGATACAGACTATCAGAAGCAGGCACAATTTGTTGTTTAAATTTGTCGTGCAATTGCTTAAAGCTGTGGTTTTTAAATCTGGCTTGTGAGAACCCTTGGTGTTCTCCAGGGCTTTACTGGGATTCAACAGTGAAAAAGCAGCAATGTCAAACAAGTTCCCCTGAAAACCGCTTGTCCACCAGACTCCAGTACTTAATATTTATATAGCATATTCAGTGAGTATAGCACATACAGCCCTATGGGTAGATCTTTCTACCTTTTTTCACTGGCACATTGATCTCATCCAGTTACCTTTCTTTGTTGTGGCCCTCTCCCATCTGGCTTTTTGTCCATATATACTCTGTAACCCCTGGCATACATTTTCCCTGGAAAATGGTAGCCATCTTTTCCCCTGCAAAAAACCTCATGCGATCCAACAAGAGAGACAGAGAGCCCTTAAACTGAGGAACTTCTAATTTAAATTCCAGCATGTTTCATCACAAAAAGATGAAGCATAGAGAAGGAAGATTAACAGGAAGAATTATGGATATTAGTCAATGCTTAATGGTTTGTTCTTACTCCTTCTCTTGTCTTCCTCTTAACGACTGTGCACTGGTTGCTATTTATCATCCAAATTATTTGCTCTCTCCAATTATGTATGTGTTTTTTTTGGGGGGGGGATGTTCTATTATCCTTGTTCACATGCATGCTTCAGACTTTCTTACAGATACGCACAATATGAACAGTCGTTCATAGTTGTTGTTTTGCATTCAGCATTCTTGTCTATCTTTGACAGTTTATAGAAGGTATTTATGCAGTATTTGATCAATGTGTTTGCATGCAGTTATCTAAGAGTCTTTACATTTTCCCAAATGAGAGCCAGTCTGGTGTAGTGGTTAAGAAAGGCAGACCCTAATCTGGAGAACCAGGTTTGATTCTCCACTCTTCCACATGAAGCTAGCTGGGCAACCTTGGGTCAGTCACAGTTCTCTCAGAGCCTTCTCAGTCCTACCTACCTTACAGTCAATATTCCCTCTAAACTGAGTTAGTGTGAGCTAGCTCACAGTCTTTTAGCCTCTGGCTCACACATTTTTGTCTTAGCTCAGGAAGGATGGCTCCAAAGCAAACTAATTTATGCAGTAGCCAAATTGCTCACTCACAATTTTAATGCCAGTAGCTCACAAAGTAGAATTTTTGCTCACAAGACTCCACAGCCTAGAGGGAGCATTGCTCACAGGGTGTCTGTTGTGTGAACAGGAAAGTAAAGTGATTGTAAGCCAGTTCGAGACTCCATAAAAACCAACTCTTCTTCTAAAGGTCTTGATCTGAATAGCAGTGGGTACGAAAGAGAGTGGGAAAGGGAGGGAGTTAATCTCTAATCTTTTCCAGTACACAATATATGATTTCTTCTTTACAGATGCAGCATATGAAAAACTCAGAGTGGCAAAACAGAACTGCTGTCACCACCTTCATCCTTCTAGGGTTTGGCAATGCTGAGGATCTGAACATTCTCCTTTTCTTACTATTTCTAGCTATCTACCTTGTGACTCTGTCAGGCAATCTTCTCATTGTCCTCCTGGTGATGTTTGACCAGCACCTCCATACTCCCATGTATTTATTTCTGGCAAATCTGTCCTTTTTGGAGTCCTGCTACACTTCAACAATATTACCAAGAATGCTGGCCAGTTTTGTCACAAGGGACAAAACCATCTCGCTTTTGGGTTGCATTCTTCAGATGCATTTCTTTACTACTCTGGCAGCCACAGAATGTTACCTCTTGGCTGCTATGTCATATGATCGCTACCTGGCCATATGTAAACCTTTGCATTATGCCACACTTATGAATGAGAGAATGTGTATCCTGCTTGTTTCAGTATCATGCATAATTGGCCTACTTCTTATAACCATCTTAACATGTTTGGTTTCACAGCTTAACTTTTGCAACCGATATATAATTGACCATTTCTTTTGTGATTTCACCCCCATGGTTCGACTTTCCTGTAGTGACACCCAGGTTGCGGAAACGGCAGCTTTTATAACATCGTCTATAGGGATTCTACCTACATTTCTTGTAACTGTGGCATCCTATGTTTTTATTATCACAACAATCCTGAAAATCCCTTCCATCACTGGGAGACAGAAGGCGTTTTCCACCTGCTCCTCTCATCTCACTGTAGTTTCCATTTTTTATGGCTCCTTAATGTTTGTCTATGTCTTGCCGACAACAGAGAAGTTCAAAGATCTCAATAAGGTCTTCTCTTTATTGTATACATTCCTAACGCCAATGGCCAATCCTTTCATATACAGCCTAAGGAACAAAGAAGTAAGGAGCAGTCTTAGAAAACTGGTATACCAGTTCTGGGAGTTTTCTGTGACACAAAAGAAATTATGCATCTGTGATTGAAACCATGATTTATTTAATTGGGTTTTTTTACTGCTAATCAAAGTCTTTCAGTTCTTATTTCATGAAATTTCTGAGTATTATTGTTCCTTCACTCCTGATTATGCATGGGGGGGGGGAAGTGTAGCATTCAGTCATGTACTTTGTATGCAGATCATTGTCTCCTCCCACTAAAAAAGATGTCAGCAGACTGTAGGTTTAAACACAATAGTCTAATGGGAGGGTTTCAAAAACAATGTCGTCAAATGAACAAGATTTTTTTTTAAACTGAAACAGAGAACAAATAAATTTTCTCCTTGTGGCTGGGTGGACCCAGGTCCCAAACACTCCTGTCTGCTCTCGTTTGTTCTAGGGAAGCAGGGATCCTGCTGACTGCACCTAGAATAGGTAGTCTAGTTGGGCTTGCTGTTCTTCACTTGGACCAATTTCCCATGAACTGGATCCATCAGCAGAAGATCACAGGTCTCACAGCCACCAACAACAGTCTCTAGAATCGTGCTTGCTTGTGAGCTTCAGGCAACTCTTGGCTGATTAGGCTGTCTTGTGGGTTGAAGGATCAAAGAAGTTTGGGCTAGATAGACAAGTGATCTGGCTCTCTATAAACAGTGTTATATGTACTTGTTGGTTCACTGGACTGTGGGCAAAACTTTCAGATATGATACTTGATTTTAGCAACTGACAGTACAATTTTAAAAACAGTTTCCTGGGAATACGACCTGGGAGTAGAAGTAATTGGTATTCTGAGTAGACCTGTTTAAGATTGCACTGGAAATCTGGCAGATATTTTATGCTGATATATTGTGGTTGTGTGCCTCTTCAAAGACCACCTATGGTAAGGAATTCAAGTTAGAAATGCTTGGAAAAAGTTGATAACATTGAGGCTTTAATTCGATGCTCACTTAGATGGGATTGAGCCCCATCAACTCTAATGGGCCTAAATTCTGAGTATAGGGGACTTACATAGGTTTGTGCTGTAAATTACAATCAAGACTGCATTTTTCAAAACTAGCAGAACTAGCTTTTCTCTATTTTTTAAGGTATTTTTGCATCTGCATGTCTGAGCACCTATGCCTCATGGTCATGCTGACCCATACCGGGCACAGAGGACATTCATAGAAATGGTGTGATAGCTTGCCTCTGACCTCCTGGTCCTGGCATTCTCTGGAGGTCTCCCATACAAGTACTTTCAAGGGTCAGCCGTGCTTAGCTTTTGAGATCTGATGAAATCAGGCTTGCCTGGGCTATTCAGGTCAGGGCTAAAACTAGCTTTTCCACTAGTGGAAAAGAGAGAAGAGACTCACAAATGGTTGAATATAGCTCAGCATGGCTGTAACAGTTCATTGAAGAATGGGTGTGGTAATATTTTGAGATATTTCAATGTCTACACTTGCTTTAATGTTTTAAAAGTAATATTAAATTGTAAAGGTGTAGTACTAAATTCTGGAATCAGAATTGCAATTTTACTTCGGAGACCACAAGGTCTGCACTTTCAGGATACATTATTTAAAATCTAAAAAGTCCAAGGACTGCTTTAGAAGTTGTACAATCTAAAATCCAATCCTATGCATATTTTCTCAAAAAAATGTTAATAAGTTTGATGGAACTTAAAAGAAACAGATTGTAGCCTTGGATGTTCTCTCAACTAACATCTTCTAAAAGTTCAAAATTCAATACTTCGGTTTGACAGGTTTGACACATTCCTCTGTGGCTGAGAGATGCTAGGAGGAAGCTCGGTCTGGTGACAGGGAGAAGGAACACTTTGGGATATGGAGGTGAGGGGGTTAGTGGGCCAGTGGCATGAACTGGGTGGCCTCCCTTAATAGGGAGAGTCTGGCCCAGTGGTCCTTCTGTGAGGAATGGGTAGCTGGCAACATCTGCATCTGAGGAAGGGCAGGGAGAACCCTTATGAGTACGAGGGATAAGAAGATTTGGAGAGGGCCTTGAGTGCAGGTCCAGATGTTAGGGTGATCATTAAAGGAGGTAGTCAAGCATAGCCTGGGGTAGATGGGGGGGAGGAGAGAAGGGTGGTACACAGCATGAACCACTGTGTAAGCTCATCAGTATACTGCAGATATGACAGAATCTTCATGTCTGGGAGTTCTTCTTGCAATGGGAAGAAGGCTATGGAAACATATCCAACTTGTTGTGCCCCAATTGTGCAAGCATCTCATCAGCCCACATTAACAGCTATACTCCCTCTCAAATGCACAGTTCATATAAACATACTCATAGAAACATGCCTGTCCCTCAAGCACAATCACCCTTCTTACAAACCAAACATATCAGTAATGCCTCCCTGGGTTTACCTGCAGATGTGCAATTAAGGATGGCGGAGTTTACTGTAGCATTCTTCACCACAGCCCAGCCTAATATACAGATTATGATTATGCCAACCCTTCCTAGTAGAACAGCAAATACTTGGGCATTGGAGTGGGATAAGCATGAGCTCTTGTTGAGGTGGTAAAAGGAAATGTTGTGTGGTTGCCCCATGGGCCACACCTGGCTACTGGCCTCGCCATAGAACCAATAGTGAAAAGAAGGGAAGAGGGATTTTCTAAGAGGGATTTTCTAAGCCCTGTGCCAATGGATGCATGCAACTGCTTCTCTGCTTTCAAGAGAAATGTGAGGCTGCTCCCACTCTGACAGCTAGGCCCGTAGCTAACAACTTTTTGCTCAGGGGGCCCATATTTTTCTCAGGGGGCCACCACCAGTATGTTCCCTCTAAGATGTGGAGTTTTGTGAGCAAAACTTCTACTTTGTGAGCTACTGCCATTAAAGCTTCAGTGCAGCCTGCAAGACAGGAATTAGGAGGGCGACAAGGCGCAGCTCCACCAAAGGCAAGAGGCGCGGGCAGCCAGGGCATCCTCTTACCGCAGCAGCTTGCAGCAGTGGGTCAGCCTTGTCCTTCCCCGGAAAGCGGCTGGGGAATCTGGCGGGGGCCAGAGACTGCCTCGCCTGTGGCCGAGGAGGGCCAGCAGGGTGCCGAGAAAGAAGGAGCCGGCGGTGCAGCACAAGTAGAAGAGGAGACGGAGCAGAAGCAATGCCAAGCATTGCTGTCCTCCGGGTGCCTCTTCCTCCGCGCACAGTCGGCCCAGGTGGAAAAGGGGCACCGCTAGCAGGCCGCCCCCGCCCAGTGACAAAGTGCAAAAAGATCGGAGAGATTGACAGCTATGTACAGATCTGTGGTTGCCCTTTTGCCCCACCTCCCCGCCACGATGGAGGGGCACCCGGGCGTGACCCCCCGAACAACTTTGGTGCGCTCTCGTTTACCCCCTTCCCTTCTGCCCCACGTAGAAAGGCCTGGTGAGACGGCAGGGATTGGCACGGGGGCAAAATGGCTGAGGGAGGGAGGGGGCTCTGCCTTGGTGTCTCTATTCTTCCCCCCCCCCCACACTTGGGACCCATCGGACTTCCTTCGCTGCCACTGTCAGGCACCCCAAAGGCCCCCGCAAGCGAGAGGAGACGGGAAGGCTCGGGGAGCGATGCGCGTGTAAGAGGCAACAGGCCTTGCAAACCCTTCCACGCGTCCGCACCATGGACTGGAAGCAGTCTCGGGCCACCGGGTCTGCCCAAGAATGTGGCCGTTCTGGGGAGGGGGGGACGCAGCCCTTTAGGCTGCTCCGTCAAGGTGGCCAGGCTGGAGAAAGCGAGGGACAAGAAAGCGGACTCCGCATTTGCTGCATTGCAGCACGGGGGGGGGTGCTCCCCCACAGCAGACTGTGGCCCCGCAGATGGCCACTGGGACGCAGTGTGGAGGAGCCCCCGAGGGGGGAGACGATGCTGCCGTGTTGAGAAATCCCGGGGAGGGAGGGGGGAAACCCGCATCTGGGCGCTGCTTCCCTTGCTTCTGCACTAAACGGACCAGGGGTGTGTGTTGGGAGTGCGGCAGCAGTCCCAGCCCGGTGGCAGCAGCATAGAGCGGGACAAGCCACCGCGCTCCAGCATCACCGGCGTCTCCTCCTCGTCGTTGCCTTCGGCCACGGTTGCTAGGATGCTGCTGCTGCAGGATTCGCTGCCTGAGACTCTGAG